CGAGGAATCGCATCGGAACAGTGTAAGCGTTCAAGCAAACCACTTCTGAAGATGCAAGCCACTCGTGCTTGCGAAACGTCAAGAAGAAATTCTACTTTGTAATCAATCACAGTTTCCTGGTTAGTCCCTGAATGTGACTGTTGCACAACTCTAATGAGCTCCATTGATGGATGTTAACAGACTTTTCATGGAAAATTGTGGTTCCAAAAAGATGAAACCACACCAGCTTTTGCCTATCCCACTATCAATCACCTTATTGGAAGAAAAGCTTGGTGCTGATCAATAACCTGCAGAAATTCAACAGCTGATTGGCCGCCAAGAAGCTGCGATTTAACGCCACTGGATTTATTTTTGAAGGGAAATTTGAGGACGGAAACTCGAATACGCAAACGAAATATTGAACGATTCATCAGAAAAATTGCTCGAAAATTGGGTCCATCGAATCAGCTCCTGTCGAAATATAATTCTGAACACTAACGGAAAAATCAATCGAAAATCATTGCAATTTATTTAATGTAAGCACCCTTACCCGAAAACCTCTGTATGTTCGGAGAAAAATCGTGAATAACTTACCTCCAAATAAATTGGCCGCATCGAGGAGAGAGGCAGTGTCTTGAGCATTGGACACCTTGTTGGAACCGGAAGAGCTCTCATTGGCTTTTCCATTTTCCTTATCCATTTCCAGACCACAATACTGAAACGATCACAAGTTTCCCATTTAGAAGCAAATCTTGGGCGCAATTACTTTACCGTGTCAGATTAATCGAAATGCAAATGTTCGTAGCTGTTTCACTTCTTCCGAATTGGTTTAAATGCGCATTTTGAGCAAACGTTCGAATATGAGCGTCAAACCATGCAAACTAAACTGTCAAATGAGTATTTTGTCGTTTTCCAGGTACATTGCCAATGTAATTTCGTAAAACCGGCTGAACGAAAGCAATCTTTACACTCAGGTATAGGCGGACAAACATAGGTAGGTTTAAGGGTGGTGATGGTGGCTACGCTGTGCACTTACAAGCAAAAGTTATGGTTTGCATGACAAAAACTTGATTGTCTTTTAGAGTCTTTTGTATTTGGGTCGATAATACAATGCGATAACCCAAAATTGCGTCCCAGTGAGACTTTGAATAGATACTTTCTTTAAAATCGTTTTTAGAAAGCCAAATCTGCATGCTTTCCATTGGAGTTGATAATAAAGTAAAATTACCTTTATTTTATGCAGTACTGCCCTTTCTGCAGGAGCGTCTCGTTCAGCCCATTGTAATGCATTCAATTCTGTAATGGGAAAGTGATTCAAATAATCAGTCATCCTGCTAAGGCTTAATACAATTCTGTTTGTTTGTCATCTAAATCCGCCCAGATAAGGAATATACATAATGCGGCAAGGTAATTATCTACTACTAGATAGTATTATTAAAAACCTGCCATATAGCTGAAGCCTATGAAATGGTGCATCAATTATTGATATATTTCTTTTCTAAAGAACGCGAAACAAACACGTTCTTCACGTTGCGAAAATGGTTAATGTGATGGAGTGAAAATAACGATAAAATCTTACATTTTCGCTGATGAAACAAGATAGAGTGGAATGGACCGCTTTGGCGAGTTTCATTTTTGTATCATACGAACGGATTGTCTTACTTTAAACACCGACATATTGAATCTGAACGCCAAAGACGAACGTTTACACAATTACCAAAGGTGAACGATCTGAAAGAACATCACGGTGCGGTCCATCAAGCCAGAAAGTCGAGCTTATTACCAGTTTAAATTCTCCTGGCAAAGACACAAACACATGAAACTCTCCTCGCCTAGTTTCTAATGTGGATCTACTGAAAATGTGTTATAGTAATTAGGGCGTAGAGTTGCACAAAAAATTAAAGTTTTCCTGCCAAATAACAATAACAGCGTAACGGTCAAAGCGATGAATTGTAAATTAGCACAAACAATCCGTCGCCTAAATACGCGATTCTCAACTATGCACGTAGTTTATGTGTGGCTCATACCTTTCTAATGACAGTAAATGGGAAATTTATTTAAATTTACTGAGAGTAAACGGGGTCTGTCCGCCTAGTCGACCGAATTTGAACTCCACTATGAAAAGAATACACACTAAACAAGGCGAGCCCCGGAATTGTTTAAAAATGAAAATGACTAATCCCTTATGTGAAGTGAAACTGATAAAATCGATTTTCCACGAAATTAATCAGGTTTGATTCTAAAGATATGAGGAAACAGCCAGCAAGTCAGAGAATGGAAAATTGCTTCACTTACCTTATTGGGTGAAAAATCTATGTCCTCGGATAAACCTGAAACAATGACATTATATTAAATCATGACCAATGAGATTGAAGATTGCGACCGCTCAAAAACTG